CTGTTACCAGACACTAAACCCCTGTAGGTCCCACAGTTGAGAATCATATTTTCACAGCGCATACATTTAGCAAATTATTGCTACAACCCATAAACCGCAGGGAAGACACACAGGTTACTGTTCTGCTTGCACTTTATGGTCAGGACTAATCATTTGTCTGAGAGAAAGGACTTTTTTATGAAAATTGTCGGGGCTCATTTCAAAGAGAGAATGTTATATAATATTATAATTGAATATTCCCTGCCTGGATTCACAGTAGGTTTCTGGACCAAAGTTAATGCTTCCCTTTCCGTGCACTTGGAATGATGAACTACCACTTTATTGAAAATAATCAATGGCCAAACGATACATGAGGAATGTCAATAAACTTAGAATTTGTCGTAGCGATACTATCAACCCCTGGTTTGGCTTCAGCCACTTTTTGCTCTTAACTTTGACTTAGATGTAGCATTTATCTGAAATTTTGCTCTGTTTCCCGAAATAGTTCTAAATTCTTTCATGAATAGAACCCCTGGGTATTGTTATGTACCACCTGTTTTACTAGTAAGTCATGACTAGATTTTTCCTCTGAGCTTGATTCGAGCTTTCAGATTCAGCTCACGCCCACGTGCCAAGGCAGCAAAGGCCTGAATCTTGGTTATTCCCGCTTATGGGGGAATTTACTTCCTTGTGGAAATCCAAGAAACATAAGTGGGGGACTCGCTAAGCTTGCCGGTTTAATATGTCATATAGACATTTCTGTGGTGTTCTTTCCTGAATTTTCTCTGTTTCTATACAATCCTTGAAAGTGGCTCTAGAAGTTACCAGAAATACTCTGAGGCAGAACTGCGTACCTGGGTCTGTTCTGAAACTGAACTGTGTCTTCAGCAAAATAAAATCTCTACAGTTCGTAAAGAATGCTCATTGGCATTCCTTTGGTTTTAATGACTGGTGGGTAGCTTTGGAAGTGATAATGTACTTGGCTATATTTATGATAAATAAGCCCTGAGATCATTAAAGGAAAAGCCACACCGATTTGCATTTTCAAGAGCTAGATTCTTGGCTAATGCTATGCCTCAGAAGCATGGAATGGGCAATAGCTCCCTGGCCTTTTGAGGAACCTCATTTCAAGCCAGCAGATTCAGTGGAGAAATAAATACTGTACATTTTCATTCTAAACCTTGAACAGGTCAGAATGCCATGGTAGGAATTGCTCAGGAAATGTTTTATTCAAATAGATCTATTATTTCTCCCCTGTCAGTATCTAAAGTATATTGGGCTCAGTCGAAACCAGTTTGGCTCAGTGGATAGAGCATCAGCCTGCGGACTGAATGGTCCCAGGTTCGATTCTAGTCAAGGGCATGTACCTTGGTTGTGGGCACATCCCCAGTGGGCATAGGGGTGTGTGCAGGAGGCAGCTGATTGATGTTTCTCTCTCATCGATGTTTCTGGGTCTCCATCTCTCTTCTTTCCTTTCTGTAAAAAAAAAAAAAAAAAAAAAAAAAAAAAAAAAAATCAGTAAAATATATTAAAAAATAATAAAGTACATTAGGCCCAAATCTGTTGTTTGTTTTAGATCCCCACCAGGGTCTGTCAATCTAGATTAAACAATCCATGCCACAATGTGAAGAGGCAAGAGTATTACCTCAATGCCAATAACTGCTTTCCTCACCTCCTTTTTGATGAAGGCTGTGGCCTTACAACTTTGAAGATAGCATTGGCTTTTTAAGCTCAAGTTCTCCTGTGTTTATTTAGTATAATTTCACTCCCGTGTCTGTAGGCCACAGCATGATACACCCATGCTATCCTGGTTAACAATTCCAGCCTGTCCGCTAAGATGCTGTGATTCAGGCTGAATAGAGCCGATTACCTGAAATACCTTCTGTAAATCCCATCGAGACTTTTGGATCCAACACTCAGGTTGGGCTGGGGACTCACCAGGCTTTAGTCCTATGGACCCTTCTCTTCCCGTTTGTGTTTGCATAGACCCTGCTGGTGACCCAGGAGCAGCTGTTCTTCTCCCATCTCTGTGGGGCTCTTTCTTAAGAAGAAAGGGATCTATAGTGGAGAACAGATTTGGGCCTCATGTACTTTAGACACAGACAAGGGGGAGATAATAGAACTATTTGAATAAAGCATTACCTCAGCAATTCCTACCATGGCATTCTGACCTGTTCAAGGTTTAGAATGGAAATGTTTTTTGGTGTTCTACTGACTTAAACAAGTTTTAAATGCTATCAGTTTGCACCTTTATTTAATAACTCTTCCAAAAATTCGGACACTAATATTGAAGGTGGCTTGACATAGATAATTTTGCCCAGAAATCAGTACATATTGATAGAGATGGATAGATGTATTTAACTCAAAGGTGTTTTAGAGGTTACCCATTCCTTTCAAAAGGGAGAATCACAGACACCCAGCCAGCTGCAAACTTGCATAGGTTTCATTTTAATAATACGAGTCCTCTCTCTCACCATACCCACTTTTGGGGTTGAAAAGACTACCACCCATCTAGTTTCACACCCATGCTGAAAGCTAGCCTTGGATCACTTTCTTCTCTTCAAGGAACTAAAATTAGGAATGTGTTCATAAACCTGGTGCCAGCAGCTTCCTCTGTGAACCTAGCAGCTTCTCTAAGACATATGTAATACCTTGTCAATGAAAATTAAATAAACCTATTAACTTAGCTTGTAACGAGCCCTACTGATGGTACACATAGCATAAAATAATCATCATAATAAAAACAAATGGATAATGCCTTTCACATGTTTATCATTTTTTAGATTTCACAGTTGCAAGAGAGGCTAATTCATTTACCTACAGTCATAAGGTACAGGGCCAGACTTAGAATCTAGGTCTTACAACTAGTAATCCTGTGCCCACTTATTAAAAATAGTGATAATAATAATCTTAAGAATAAAAGCAGCCAAAAGAAACCACAGTGACTGACTTCTAGCTCTTTGTGTATCTTTAAATCTGAGTCAAAAAGGAATTTCAACCTGTCATAAGTAAGCCATCAAAACATACTCATTTATTTGAATGTTTCTAGGGGCTCATTACTCAGTTTATTAATTATTTTGTAAAGATTTAGTGTTATTATTTGGGTAGTTTAAGAAAAAATGTTATAAAAAGGTTTTTAGCTGCTGAACAATAATGGTAAAATACTACAGAAGTAGAAGAGAATTAACATGAAATTCTTTTAGCAATTTAAAAACTGTATTATAAATATTTTTTGTTACAAGACTAATGAGTTGATTCTTAATATCACAAATAGAAATAGTTATATGGAGTATTTTCTGTTACCTATTCTACTTTTAAAAGGGGAGATTAACAAATGAAAATATTCATAACTATAATTTAAAATAAAATTATTAGATGAATAAACTCCTAAAGATAAATTTGCTTAATATACCTTTTCAGATTATTTTAATTATACTGAACTATTTACTAATAGATTAACAACAAACCCCAGTATACAAACTAAATAAATGAAAAATAAATGTTTTCTGAGGAGTGTTGGTAAAAGGGGGTAAGCTAGTACATGATAGTATGTTGAATTGCTGTATTTTTCCAAGATCTTTTGTATAGTCAAGTTTTTTCTTGAATAAGGAGATCTTCAGGAGATCCAAAGCAAATTATTCACCTTCTATCCTCATGCTTAAATAATATGTTACATGCAAAATATTATTCTAAAAATGATTATTTTGTCATGAATAAGAAATTTATTTTATGTATACTAATTTTTTGAATTTTTTTCTACTAAATCATTGCAAAGACTGTCAACCTTTTAACAGTAGTATTAGTATTAATTTTTCTAACCATGCATGATTCATTTGACCCCTCAGTAGCTGTAGCTTGCTTGCCTTGTTTTTCCCTAAAATTAAAAAAAAAAAAAGGTGTACAAAAATCACAATGAACACTTGCTCTCCATAGCAAGACAGCAGAACAACTTTGTCCTGATAAATGGTTAACATTTTATTTCACACATGGGTGCTGGAGATACAGACATAGATGACTTTCTATGTTGACTGTGCACTTTTGTTAAAGGACTTGTTTTCCCCTGCCTGCTCTTTGAAGAAGCCAATTAGGAGTAATGGGAAACAAGGGGTAGGCAACACATCGCAGTGCAGTGTTACTTCCATCTGTTCGGGAATATTTCAGCCAAAAGTTTATTTTTTTTGGGGGGGGGGGTGGGGGAAGCCATCACACAGTCTCTCACACACAAAACCACAAATACTTTGGCTGCAAATTATTCCGCAGTGTTGTTGCTGTGTTGTTGCCGTGTCTGTTCTCGTGTGTAAAGCTGCCACCCATCCATGCATGTGTTTGCGATTCTCGTCTGTGTGCTTGTTCATGAACTAGCTCCTCCTCCTCCTGGTTCAGGCTAAGTTTACTGGATAGAGCAAGGATTTATGGGTATGACTGTCAGCTGGAGAGTCCCTCCTCACGTCAAGTCTTCCCTTCAAAGGCATCTTCTGCTGGAACTTCTCAGTGGGAGGGAGTGCTCAGTGATCAGGAAGCCAGTCTCCTCTATGCTACCTGGCTTTGCGTGTGCCCTGGATGGCTTCATGTTGTTGTATCTCAGTTTCTCTGTGTTGGAAAAGGAAACTGTTGGTATGAATCACTTTCTTGACTGTGAGACAACTGTCGGTCCTGCTTGACAAATGACCAGGTAGCATCGCAGTCTCTACTCCCACCTCCCCTGGGATGTTTGGTGGGCAAAAAAGAAAAAGAAAAGAAAAGAAAAGAAAAGAAAAAAGCTGTTTTTAATGTAATAAAATATCAACAATAAAAAATTCTCCATTGAAACTGTAATATAATTTAAAATCAACGTTGTTCTATTAATAAGATAGCTGACGTGTGCGATTTTCCCATTTTGCCTTTCAACTGACAGTATACCCATAATTCTTGGTGATTATCGTTTTGTTCTCCAAAGTTAATTTCTTGGCATTTGGTGACTGCACTATCTCTTGTTCTAAATTGTTGTCTTAACTCCATTCCTTAAAAATACAATATCGAAGGCTCATAACATTGAAGATGACTCCAGGATGAACCCCGAGTTTGCAGACCGAATAAAACAGCTTGATAAAGAGGCGACTTACTATCGCGACGAATGTGGCAAGGCCCAAGCTGAAGTGGACAGGTTGCTGGAGATCCTCAAGGAGGTGGAGAACGAAAAGAACGACAAGGACAAGAAGATCGCGGAACTGGAGAGGTAAATGTCGCAGTCGCGTTGTGAATGGCCCACAAGCAAGAGAGCATCGGTCGCGTAGTTACCGTAGTTACCGTCATGGCTTTAGAATGCACGTTCCTATTTCGAGTCAGAAACAAGTTATGTCTGAGGAATCTGGCCTGTTTAGGATGATGTCGGGTTTCTGTGGGCTACTCAGAAGGCATTTGGCTTATCTTTTGATGGCTTATGCACTTCTGAAGTGTGTAAGAAAATAGTGTTCTGGCATTGGTGCCAGCCAAGTGTGTAAGAAATTAAGGCTTTGACTACCTGAAAGCTCAGTGTTTTTTTCTTCCCCCCAATCAAAGACAAACATTTGTGGTTTAGGCTTGTCTCAAGCAAAGAATATGGAAGATTATATGGTAGATGGAAATTCATTCGCGATTGGGGGAAGGAAAGGAGTTGCAGTGGTTTTTGTTTGGCACATGACGATAAGTTCATCTTGGGCTTTATCTTTTAAGAGGACCTTAGGACATTTGGTAAATAAATACGTTTGAAGAGGGTCTGAGGCAGGCCTACCTGATAGCAAATTCTGTCTAAAAAACAAAGACGGTTATATCAGGGTTCCAGAGTACTTAGATTTTTAGATAAATCATGTCCATATTGTATGTATGCATAGTAAGAACTGTAAAAATAAGCTTTCCATCAGTGCTTTTTCCTGTATTTCATATAAGGAAAGAATTTTACGTAACTCCATAACCTTTCAGGATTCCTTATTGGTTCAGTAATAAGGAAGAATTTGTCTTTCCTAGATTCAGTGCATATGGAAGAGATCAGCCAATTTTGAATAAATCCGTAAGTGTTTGCCAGCTCTGACCAAGACACCCGTGCGGGCCCAGTAGACTTCAGGATATATGCAGAATAGCTCTCTGTGGGGTGTAGAAAGATCGTGGGCTTTAGAGACAGAAAGACATGGGTTCAGATTTTGCCTCAGCTTCATGCCAGCTGTGTGACCGTGGATCTTGTTAGAAGTGTATCTCTAATAACCTATTAAAATGTATCAGCCTAGCCAGTTTTGCTCAGTGGATAGAGAGCCAGCCTGCCAACCAAAGGGTCCCGGATTCAAGTCTGGTTAACCTTGGTTGCAGGCTCCTCCTTGGCCTGGGCCCTGGTTGGGGCGCCTACAGGAGGCCATAAAATCAATGTGTTTCTCTCACATCACTGTTTCTCTCTGTCTTTCCCTCTCATTTCTACTCTCCCCAAAAACTCAATGGAAAAATATTCTCCGATGAGGATAAATAAATAAAGTATCATACTTGGTAGGTAGCAATTCCCAATGTAAGATAGGATTTAAATAAATTCTCAATATTACTTGGCTTGGTATTAAATGGACAGATTAGTTCTCAATAAAATTTTGACATTTTCAAATATAGTATTAAATATATTTGAACTCCAAATCAGTTAATAATCTTTTAAAGATCTTAGCATTAGTTTGGAAATAACCTGATTTTTATTGAATGAGACCAGTTTTAGCAATTAAACCAAAACTTTATTTTCCTGAGTTAAGTATACAAATTAAAATTTTTTTAAAAGGACTTTATTTCAATGTTAAAATGTGGAAATGTCCTGCCAGTTTACTGGTTCTGAAAAACACTGTTAATTTTAGATATATGGCTCTTTTGGAATTACATTTTAGGATTAACATTTTTCTTAAACAGCTAGCATGAGATCACAGGGAAGTAATGGTCATGCCTCTCTCGCTGGTGACAATCCCAAGGCCCTGGCAGGTTGAACATCCTCTGGATTGGCCTGGTAGCCAGAGAGACATTATAATGTAGGTCTCCGGACCCCTCGTCCACTGCTCTGGGAAGCAGATCCCCATTGGGAAGATGCCTTAGATAGTTATACCAGTGACATTAATAATAGTAATTGGAATCTCAATAATAGGTTATGCTAATTGTGTATTAGACTCTCTGCTAAGCACTTGACCTGCAATACTGCACACCACTACATCTTACCCACAACATATCCCCATTTTCTAGATGAGAAAACTATGATTTGATACAAATTAAATAACTTCCTCAAGATGGCAGAATTTATAAGAATCCAAGGCTAGATTTGAACCCAGGTCTGACACGTGAGCGACTGACTGTGTGTAGCACCAAATAGTCACTCAGCCAGCAGAGAGGCCCTGCTGGGACACGGGAGGTCTGCTTCATCTTTATTAGCTTTCATGAGGGAAACCGATGTGCCCCACATTTAGAAAGCATTTTTCTGCCCCAAACCAGGTCTCCAGAACTGTGAGTGAAAATTAATCAGCTACCATAAATATTTGCATAAAAAAGCATCCTTGTGTGGTGGACAAACAGGTCTTAGCTGGGCACTCTGGCCATTAAATCATCAAGAATATTCACATTTTTATTTCCTCAATATGGAATGCATTAAGACAACAGTGATTTTACAGGCATTTATCTTTATGTACTTTCTGCACATTTTCTTTATCTCTGCCTTTGCCTCTCCTTAAAGCTGATGCCTCCCAGGCACTGTAATTCATAAAACGTGTGCTGGGACTTGACTCCGTCCCAGCTCTCTGCCTGCCTGTGTCGTGGGTCCAGCAGCAGAGCACAGTCTGGGAAATGTCTGAGCCCCAGCCTCAGCCCGGGCCCCGGAGGAGTTTGTGGGTGGAGATCAAGAGGGGAAATATCTTGGGAAAAGGAGCGCGCAGCCTTGGCCTGTCTCTCCGGGGCCTTATCTGCTGCTGTAAAAGCTCCGTGTAAATCCCGACCACGCATCTTCCTCGCCTCGTCAGGCAGCCCCATTCACGTTGGGCAGTATCTTCCTTGGCTGGCTTAGGCTGCCAAATTCATACCTCATAATGTTGGGGACTAAAGATTTCTTAGCCATGTGACATATATCTCCATTCTGGAGTCACGGAGGAGTGTTTGCAATTAAGTTTGTGATTTTGAAAACCAAGAAATTGAACTTGAACTAAAGTTGTGGTCTCTGGTCTGTAATGTGACCTACCAGAGTGAAAAGGCCTCCTTTTCAAGGCAGCGAGTTTCCAAAACATCCCAGAACCTCAGTCCTGTGCAGCGAGAGGTACGGGGTGAGAGTAATGCAATGACTCTGACACGGGCCTGCTTCGCACTCCAAGGGCAGTCCCTGCTTGCTTTCTGTTTCGTTCATCTTCCCACTTTTGATTTTCTCCATAATGTATACATTCCAAACAACATATGCCCGGCACTGACATGGATGCCTCTACCTCTTCAATCCCACCTGAGTGATGCTTTTCATCAGCCACTAAAGATTGTGCCTTTCAAAGTTCATATTGCTCCAGTGTGATCCCTATGCGCAGTTCTGCCGTAAGCCGGGCTCTGGATCCCGATGGTTCCAGCAGGGAGCTGCCGCCTGGGGCTGCAGGCTGCTCTGGGAAGTCTGGCACAAGGTGGGCGGGAGGCTTGAGCAAGCCCCTGAGAACTGAGGTCCTTATCCAATCACCGATGCTAGATAGCATGTGGCCTATACAACCGAGTAGCTAACTGAACGTTAGAGACAGTGAAATAGATGGCCTTTCTGTACTGGCGCCCATCAGGGTCTTGCAATTTTTGTTAGTTTCAGATAATCCTTTTGGTGCCTTAGGGCAGTGGTCCGCAGACTCATTGGTCAACAGAGCCAAATATCAACAGTACAACGATTGAAATGTCTTTTGAGAGCCACATTTTTTAAACTTAAACTTCTTCTACTGCCACTTCTTCGAAATAGACTTGCCCAGACTGTGGTATTTTGTGGAAGAGCCACACTCAAGGGGCCAAAGAGCCATATGTGGCTCGCGAGCCACAGTTTGCTGACTGCAGCCTTAGGGGAAGGAGAGAGGTGAACCCAGTCTGCCAAACAAGCAGGGGGCCAGGTGATTTCTGGCATCTAACCCATGGGAAGGAATCATGCAGGTGCCCTTTCATGTAATTATTTTAACTATGGTAGGGGCTTGGCTGTATTTGTCTAAACTTTAGACTCTAAAGGACAGGGATTGCCCCAGTCAAGCCATCAGTCACACCCTTCCCCAATGTGGAGAGGAGGCTGGCTCCCTTGGTCTCACTCCGAAGATAGAACATCACAACAGAAGCCCAGACGGCACGCCATTATCTGGGTCGGGACCAATGCCACCTGATGTTAGGACAATGAGGCATCACTTCAGATGCCCACAAGTTCCTCATCTAAGGTTGAGAAGTAGGCTATGATTTTTTTTTCTCTCCTAAATTTGTTTAATAATGTGCTGACATACCTCTTTTGATTCCTTTCAGAACTCTTTTCACAAAATGTAAGCATAAGTTTTATTTATTTATTTTCAACGGTGATAGCGTGTTTAGAAATCTCTTGGTACATGGAAGAAACTCGATACCAGTTCTCTTTGTTTTGGTATAAACTCATCTTCCTAAGTAATTTCCATTTATGTTTGTTGTTTATATTTGCAGAACTTTCTTTAAAATAAGTGGCAGGTGGTTTTACACCATTCCCAACAGCCTTGGGGGGGGAAGGTCATGGATATCATGGATCCTTTGAGAATTTGATGAAAAGTAGGAACCTTTAGAAAAATCAATGAAATCTTAAATGCTGGCTTGCTATTTTGGTTTAGCATTGCCTACAGGTTGGCCATGAATTTCAGCTCGATGCACCTCTGACCCAGGAGAATTCGAAACAACAGCTGGGGCCATTATCCCCACCGTCTTCACGCTGACCATGGCCTGACCCACCTCTTATTTTTGAACAGTTGTGCGATCATGATTACAGAATACTCTGCAGGGGGGTTTCAGTTACAGGAATTACCAGATCGATGCTTTCACCATGTGCTTAATCTTGAATTTTTCTCTTCCATGTTTATCGTGACAGTCAATGCTGTTTTCACGGGAGTTGTTCTTGTTTAAGCTTTCTCCTGAGGATTTGTTTTGTTTTTCCTTCCTGTGCGAAATGCTTAAAGCTACTTCCTAGTAGTAGAGAATGGTGGGGTCCCCCTGAGTAGATAGATAGCTGGTAAATCCACTCTGCCTTTTGCCGATGGTATTTTACAGGTTAACTAAATGAACACCCACTTTGTGCTCCTGAGGTAGTCTGAAGGGGGTCGTGATGTCTCTGCCTTTTCAGTTTTGCTTGGCATTAGAGATTTCATTGTTCTGACTGATGAGAAGGGCATGCTAAATGTGTTTGTAGGAAGAAGTGACCAAGCATGTGGATGTATATCGTCAGTGAGGAAGTCTGGTTCTCCTTTTCACTGGGTGAAAACAAAATTGCTTTCAGCTTCGGAAGGGACTGTCCTTTCCCGGGAGGCTGAGGGCTCCTCACCAGAAGCCTTCCTCGTGGCGTCTTGGACCATCGTGAGGTGCAGCACTCTGTGAGCATCTCAAGTGGAAACCTTCCAACAGAAAACCAAACTGCTCGGCTCCTTTTCGTTTTCAGGGAGGAAGGAAAACTATCTCATAGGGTAGAACCCTCCGACTCACTGGTTCAGATAACATCCCCCTGACATCGGTGCTTACCTCCCACTCCAATATCTCAGCAATTTTTGTTTCATTTTATTAAAGAATAAGAATTGTACATGCACACAGATAGGAACTTTTGAAAATATTCCTCCCAAAAAGAGCAGACCTTGCCACTGGCTGCCAGAGCACACCTCTGGCTCACATCAGTGCCTGTGGAGACCATGGGTGTGCCAGCAGGTACCTGTGTCCTAGGTCCGTGGTCGGCAAATTGAGGCTCGCGAGCCACATGCGACTCTTTGGCCCCTGGAGTGTGGCTCTTCCACAAAATACCACGGCCTGGGCCAGTCTATTTTGAAGAAGTGGCGTTGAAAGAAGTTTAACTTTAAAAAATTTGACTCTCAAAGAAGTTTCAATCGTTGTACTGTTGATATTGGGCTCTGTTGACTAATGAGTTTGCCTACCACTGGCCTAGGTATAATACTTAGTATAATATAACAGCTTACATTGTGTGCCCACAGCTTTTTTTTGGGGTGGTGGTGGCGGTGATATCTTGATAAAAGTTGCTTTGTTGTCCTTCATTTGGTTATAAAACCTGCTAATATAACATCTGTTGGCTGTATGTTTAAAACTAACGCATTTCCTCCCTTTTATTCTCTTTTGCTATCCCCTTTTCTTTCTGCTTATCCTCCAAACTGCTGCTTTCACCCTTGCTCCAATCAGCCTGACTTTCAGGTTAGTACTTTCAGTTTTTCTTCTAACTGCCTTTCCCTCCTCAGCTCAGTTTACTGCTTGCACTTGTTTAACAAACACATTTCTGAAACGGTTTTGCTCAGGCCACCACATTTTTTTTTTCCATCCCATGCCTAGGGGAGGTTTATTTTACGAGAAGGCTGTGTAGGGGGGAAGGCGAAGAAGAAGATAGAAATAAATCACTGTTGGATTGTTTGATACATTCTGTTCCTGGATTATACAATCAATAAGAGGAATCCTCAGGAAAACTCCCTAGTGCAGAATGGACTGCATGGTGATAAAACATGGAGCAGGGGGAAAACAAGCGCAGGATGCTAACTTTAACTCGGAGGATAGAACACAAGATGTGCCCATGACACAGCAACTTAAAAGCCAGGTTTAATAGTGCAAACCATTGAGACTTTTCGCTTAATAAATCACTGTGTTTTGAAAGATTTATAATACTTCTTTAAAAGTCACTTTTGAAAATTATCAGCATGTTAGTAACATATTGTACACACATGTTATTTCCTGTCACTGTTTTGGTGTTTAACCTTTTTTTTTTTTTTTTTTTTTTTTTTTTTAGCTTTCTTTTTGTTAGCCATGAGACATACTTTAATTACCTACGGAATAGCATATTGGCCCAAATGGAAAACTAGATGCAGTGTGGACTGTGCACCCTCATATTAAGATCCAAAAGGGACGTGTTGTTTGAACACCCATCCCGGGTTTGATTCCTCTAAGAAAGAGGGCCCCGGTCAGTAATTGGTTCTCCTTGAAATGAGGCAAGACTTCTCTTTTTGATAAGATGTAGACTTATCTAGAGATTTCTTTATCCTTGAATCGATGCATTTGCTAAAAAATTCTCATTGTATGATTTGTGCGACCTAGACTTTACTTTTAGAAAAGGAGTCATAGAAAGTTCATAGCCGGTACAACTGCTCTTTTGAAAGGCACGCTATATTATTTTTTTCTCTAAATGCATCTCTTTATATCCTGTCCACTACCACTCATCACCAAAGCCACCAGACCAATGCATGTACCAACAGCAAACAATTGCAGAGCAAGGCTCCCTGTCCATGTACCAATCCTGCCCTGTTGCCTGCTCCCAACCCGTGCGGCATGTAGTCCTTGCAAAGGAACTCCTCTGCTATTCCCGCGTGCCACAGGGGGTGGGCCCCGGAAACTGTCTTGATTGAACTAAGTCACCCTGAAGGAACTCGGCTCTCCATAGTCCCCTCAGCAGAGCCTAAAAGCTCACCCTGCAGAGCTGCTCTCCCCAGAAGCCCAGTGACTGGCTGTCGGGTCACTTTCTGTGCCTCTCTGTGCAGAGACAGACAGCGCACTGTGGGCGGGGACGGAGGGGCTTGGCCACCTGCTACCCAAACCTTGCCTCCAGGTTTTGGATCCGCTCATGTAATGAAGCTCTGGGCTCTCCTCCTTGCCTGTCTTTTTTGTTCTCGTTCTCCTTTGCCTTCCCTTTGCTAATCTAGTCTTCGCCTGTTAATACTGAGGCCCCTGAGACAGGGTACGCCTTTCACTGTAACAGATCAGGCTCCCTGCCTGGGCCCGGAGGTGTGTCCACAGGCCTTCTGCTGCGACTGTTTTCCTTTTCTCCTCCAGTAGCTGTACTTCTCAGTGTTTAGCTCTTTCCTGTTTCCTGGTGAATGGACTCTGCCTCTCAGAAGACAGGATGCAGGGTTAGAGTCTGAGAGGTTGTAGGCTCCGGGGATTCTCCGGACCAGGGGCCAGGTGTGCCGAGTGGGTCTGGCGAAGGGTTCAGGCCAAGCCACATGGGTGACTGTATGGAGTGGGAGAATCAAGATTCAGATAATTTTGAGATTTTTAACCTCCTGCCCCAGATGAACAGGCTGGAGGAAAGGTACAGCCCTTGTAAACAGCCTCTGGCTTTGTTTTTAGTGGCGGGGGAGCCTGGGCAGCCCTGCTCTCCTGGAAACAAAAAAGTCTGTGGAGTCTTGGAAGCCTTTTTGAGCTTTGACAAGTTTCCAGGGTTAGCTACGCTTTCTTTCCAACCACTTCCAGGTTTAGCAGCTACAATAAAACCAAGTGTAACAAGGGGTGAATACAGCATCACTAGCCGTGTGCTCTCTTTACATGGCTCACAACTGTGATCCATCTGTGTGTGTGTGTGTGTGCGCGCACGCACGCACATGTATGTGTGTGTATATGTGTGTGTGTGTGTGTGTGTGTGTGTGTATGTGTACATTCATTATATATTTAAAAATAAAGCCTGATCCTTCTTACCGTAGAAGTGTGTAGTCTGCCCGGTACCTCCCTCTCGCCCAATCTGATGTTTGAAAACTTCTCTGCCTCCCGGATCTTTCCTCTGTGCCCTGGGCTCCATGGGAAAGTCTCCCCTCCAACCACTTTGGTAAATGGCCTCATTTCCTTTTCAAACTCCGTGTAGCCACTCACGCTTCGATGCTGGGGACAGCTATTAGGCACCGGGTGTGGTAAAAGGCAGATGTCACAGTCTCCCCCTGCGCAGGCGCTCACTGCGGGAACTGCCCCTCCTCTCCTTCCACCGCGGGAACCCGAGAGGCCGAGCAGCCCCTGCTGAGCCCGGGAGAAGGTGTGTGTGACATGTGCTCATTTCTAGGAACTCCTGGTGAGATTAGTGTGCGGCTTATGATAAATGAAGTTATCTAGATAAATGTGTGCAGCACTTCACCAGAAATAAGAAGGAAGAGGAGGAGGAGGAGGAAGAAGAGGAGGAGAAGGTGGAGAGGAGGAATAAAAGAAGAAGGAGGAGGAGGAGAGCAGGAAGAGAGGAAGAGAAGGAGGAGGGGGAGGAGGGGGAGGAGGAGGAGGAGAGGAGGAATAGGAGGAGAGGAGAAGAAGAAGAGAGGGAGGAGAAGAGAGGAGGAGGAGGAGGAGAGGAGAAGGAGAGGAGGATGAGGGTGATGGGGTGAGGAGGAGGAGGAAAAGAAGGAGGAGGAGGAGGAGAAGGAGGAGGAGGAGTAGAAGGAGGAGGAGAAGAGGAGGAATAGGAGGAGAGGAGGAGAGGAAGAGAGGGAGGAGAGAAGGAGAGGAGGAGGAGGAGAGCAGGAGGACGAGGGTGATGAGGACGGGGGGTGAGGAGGAGGAGGAGTAGTATCCTTTGGGAATCAGTTCAAAATCCTGTCAGAGAATCAAGCAAGTAAAACCAGAGGCCCTCTCCAGGGCTCTCTCAGCCTGCAGTGTGCTTTGGGTGTTGGGCCAGCTGCTTCCTGCTTGTGCCTCAGTATCCCCTCTCGGAGTGGAAGGGGCTGTCCCTGGAGCCAGCCTTCAGGGATCCGCAGTGCATGTGTCTGATGGGCCTGGCGCATGCCCCTGGCGCACAGGCCCGGGCTGACGGCTGGCACCTGGCAGCCGGCATGAGCTCATTGTTACAGAGTCACTTCAAACACTTCTACCAAAATAAACTCTTTGTGATGCTTCCTCAAAGCTGAGCCCTGTGCTCTCAATCCCTCATTCTTCCCGCGAAAGATGAAGTCACTCCTCCCGGACCTCAGAGGCCTGCTGCCCAAGGAAGTAATGAAAACCATCTTGCCCAGCGATTTGCTCCTCCTAGGGGCCTTTTTTTTTTTTTTTTTTTTTTTTTTTTTGGCCCCATTTCCTCCACGAATTCGGAGTGAGCCCCTACTATGTGCTAGGCTGGGCCCTACCTGCTGGTCTGGCATTTACAAAAGCTAGCTGCTGGCAGGTTGATGGAGCTGCACGCTGCGTTCTGTTTCATGTTCACGACGCACCCTGATGCGGCTGCTGATAGAGAGGGTGGCAGTGGCAGCAGCAGCCATTGCAGTGAGCATGAGCTAAGGGCCAGCACTGAACTTCTCCCTTCTTAGTTAGCATTTGCTTCTCATGACAATTGCATGAAGGTGGGATATCATTTCTTCCACATTAAGGAAGAGGAAACAGATTTATGAAAGCTAAATATTTTGCTCAAGTTAGTACAGCGTGTGAGTGAGGGTGTTGGGCACCCTCCCCCCCCCAAGCCATTCTTCCTGATTTAGGAATTGGATATTTTGCTGCTTCAGCCCCAGTTGCATAGTAAAGCCTCTGACAAGGCCTGTGCCCTTTGCTCAGTCTGCGTTTCCCAGGTTTGTGTTTATAGACTAGATCCCACCAGGCACTTTGTGGAGAAGCCACGAGATTCAGGCCTGTCCCCAACCTGCCTCCCAGCCTGAGCTGGTCTCTCTCTGTTGTTGCTGTTGATAATTCTCCCCTGAGGATACTTTTCCCTCTGTTTTTTGTTTTGTTTTGTTTTGTTTTGTTTTGTTTTGTTTTTAGAGAGAGAGAGAGTGGAAGGGAGGGGGAAGAGACACAGAGAGAAATACGACTGTGAAAGAGACACATCCATTGGGTCGCCTCCCACAACATGCCCCAATCATGGCCCCACTGGGGCAGGGATGAGCCTGCAACTGAGGTAGAGGTACATGCCCTTGAGTGGTATGGAACACCCAACCTTTCAGTCTCTGGGCTGATGCTCAAACCACTGAGCAACATTGCCAAGGGCCAGAGCTGGTCTCTTGTACACAGATCCTGCCCTCTGGGACCAGCTCAGGTGTCACTCCAACACCAAGCCTTCTCTGAACCGCCCCCCCCCTTCCCCGCAGAAGCAATCTCTCCCTTCCTTGGTATCCTCAGCGCACTCTCTGACCCCCCTTTCCTGCTGTCATACCTTCTCTCACATTGAGGTGGTTAATCAATGTAGTGTCTCCCTAGTAGACGCTCCTCCTGGAATTTGGGCGGGTCTCTAGCTTGATGCCTGTGTGCCACCCACTGGAGGGGCCAGTCATACTCCTGAACGTTGTTGAAAAAAACTATTGCAGAAAGGTCCCTGCATGAGCGCCTCTCCCTCCTGCCACCCTTTGCTGGGTCCCCACTGAGATTTGGTGGTGGGTTCTGAGGCCAAGCTCACTCCCTTGGGTATCTTCTCTTGCTCCAGAAGGGATGCCTTCAGAAAAGATATGATTGGTTTTCTATGAAGCTGGACGCTT